AAATTCTGTCTCGCTTGAGACAGTCTCATTTAATGCAGATGATTATCTCACTTGAGATTGCTTTTTTAAAACAGACTTTGTCTCACTTGGGACTGTTTTACTCGAAAGAAGATTTATTTCACTCATGATTGTTTTTCTTAAAACAAGATTTGTCTCGCTTGAGACCGTTTTCACTAGAAGAGTTTTGTCTCTCTTGAGACAGTTTCCCTTGAAACAAATTTTGTCTCTCTTGAGACAGTTTCTCTTGAAACAAATTTCGTCTATCTTGAGACAGTTTCCCTTGAAATAAATTTTGTCTCTCTTGAGACAGTTTCCCTTGAAACAAAATATTTGAATATGTTTTCTTTGAAACAAATTTCGTCTCCCTTGAGACAGTTTCTTTTGGAACTAAGTTTTGTCTCTCTTGAGACAGTTTCTCTTGAAACAATTTTCGTCTATCTTGAGACAGTTTCCCTTGAAACAAAATCTTTGAATTTATTTCCCCTAAAACAAATTTTGTCTCCCTTGAGACAATTACTCTTGAAACAAAAAATCTTCAAATTTATTTCCCTTAAAACATAATTTTGTTTCCCTTGAGACCGTTTCTCATGAAACAACAGATATCTTTGAGATCGTTTCCCTTGAAACGAATTCTATCTCTTTCAAGACAACTTCTTTTGAAGCATCATCTGAACCGTTACACTCAGCTCAGGCACATACTTGAGATGGTCGAGAAGCATTTCTCAAATCAAAAATAGAATGTGCACATCAAATTTGAACATTTGAAGAATTCAAGATCAGGGATCAAAATTTGAAGATTCAAGAATCAAGATTCCAGACAGGCAACTAGAGATCGAGATTTCTCTCCAGAGCCCCAAGATAACATATGTTGCATATGCATTTTAGGCACACCTAAGAGCATTGCATCCATAGCATCACATATATGCATAACTTTTTCAGGTTTTAGCTAGAGTCAATTTCAACTTCGCGGCGAATGATATTGAACTCAAAGCGACACAATTTGCTCGAGAGTGGATTTCAACTTCACGACGAAGGATATCTAGCTCGAAGCCAAACTTCACAATAAAGGGGTCTCCACGGTTTCAACTTCACGGCGAAGGGAATTGTGTCCACCCGCAACATACAATACTTGGATTTCAACTTCACGCCGAAGGATATTCAAGTCAAGGCTCAACTTCACAACGAAGGGGCCATCTGCGATTTCAACTCCACGACGGAGGATATCGTGGCACTCGAGACAACACAAGTTCAACTTCACAACGAAGGGACGACTGGTTGTCAACAAACAACTTCTCAATTTCAGAGCCAATTTCAACTTCACAACGAAGAATATTGGACTCCAGACAACGCAAGTTCAACTTCACGGCGAAGGGACCGCTGCCTGTCAAAAACAACTTCTCAATTTCAAAGCCAATTTCAACTTCACAACGAAGGATATTGGACTCCAGACAACGCAAGTTCAACTTCACGACGAAGGGACTGCTGCTTGTCAACAACAACTTCTTAATTTCAGAGCCAATTTCAACTTCACAACAAAGGATATTGGACTTCAGACAACGCAAGTTCAACTTCACGACGAAGGGACCGCTGCTTGTCAACAACAACTTCCCAATCTCAGAGCCAATTTCAACTTCACAACGAAGGATATTGGACTCCATACAATGCAAGTTCAACTTCACGACGAAGGGACTGCTGCTTGTCAACAACAACTTCCCAATCTCAGAGCCAATTTCAATTTCACAACGAAGGATATTGGATTCTAGACAACGCAAGTTCAACTTCACGACGAAGGGACCGCTGCTTGTCAACAAAATTTCATTCAGATTCAATTTCAACTTCACAACGAAGGATATTGGACTCGAGACAACACAAGTTCAACTTCACAACGAAGGGACGACTGGTTGTCAACAAACAATTTCCCGGTTCCAGAGCCAATTTCAACTTCACGACGGAGGATATTAGACTTGGAACAATGCTACTTACTTGGATTTCAACTTCACAACGAAGGATATCCAACTCAAAGAAGGATTATTGTCGAGTTCGACTCCATTTAGCTCGATAACACATCAATCGCACTACTTTCCGGTTACAGTCGAGGTTTTCAAGTCGAGAAGAGGACCTGGGTTAGCCGTGCCTTAGTGACAAGCAACCATTTTCAAACAGCATAGCTTAAGTCAAGAAAAAGCTATCTGTCAATGAAGATTTCTGAGTTCGATTCCGATCCAAGGTCTTTAAACCGAGAAGAAGACCGAAGGGTAACGAGAAGCCACGTGCTGATTCAAATTCCGAACTACGGCTTTAATTTCATATCATTTCAAGATGAACTCGACTTCACGATGGAGGAGTCATCCGTAACTCAATTCGACTGGGAGTTATTGAAACATCAGAGTTAATTTTCAACTCCACTGAACGAAAAGTGTGTCTTTTAATCTTTGCCCTATCCCCGTTACACGACTATGGGCAAAGAGGGGCATCTGTCAACACACATTTTTCGTCCTACTAGGATTCAAACTCCTAAAAATAGGATAGAATTTTAGGATTCAAACTCCTAAAAATAGGATAAAATTTTGCTAGGATTCAAACTCCTAAAAATAGGATAGAGTTATACTATTATATAAATTCCTAAAGATAGGATCCACAAGCACTATAAATAGCCATTGTAACTCACCATTGTAAGACACGATTTACACACAAAAACATAGAGGAAAGCACGGAAAGATACAAAGGCAAAACTATTGTAAAGGATTCGAAAAGGAAATAAAAGGTAGCATTTTCTTTTTTCTTTCTTTTGCATGTGCACGTTATTTTTCTTGAAATTTGGTTCGAATAACTCAAATCGTAGGTTGCGCCGATGACCAAAACGGGAAGGGTTTCGAAGTTTCGAACCTAGATCTACCCCGAGGCTTATTTTTAAAAACTGGTTTGATTTTCGGTTAAAGGAGGGGAAGAGCTTTTTAAAAATCTATATTAGTCCCTTTATTTATTATATGGATATTTTATTCATTTATTTTTATTATTCATGTTATTATTATTATATGTATATATATATATATATATATATATATATATATATATATTAAATTATTTTCATTTATTTTTTACTATATTTTACTATTATATATATATATATATATATATATATATATATATATATCTTTAATATTTTACTTATAAGTCTAATATTACTATCTATATATATGTAATTATCTTTATCTAGTCATATATTTTTTTATACTTTTAATAGTTTATTTATATACCTATTATTAATATATATATTCTTACTTTTTTTTATTTGATTATCTTTTTTATTTACGTAATATATCTTATAACTTTTTATATATATTATTTTTCGTTTTTTTATTATTTATTATATTATTTTTTAAAAAAACCTTGTGTCTTTATCATTATTATTATTAAACATTATATTATATACTACTAACCTAGATGGTCCATTTTTGTCTTATTTCTTACTAAAGCCCCCACTTTCGGTGAATTGAGAGGGTATCTTTTCTATTTTTAAGTATTTGGTGTACATATATAGCTTATTTATTTTATTAATACTTTGATATATATATATATATATTTATATTTTTCCTTTTTTCAAATATTACTATATACAATTATTACTTTACTATTTTTTTTCTTATCTTACTTATTTATTTTATTTTTCCCTTGTATCTTATTTGTTTTCTTTACCTTGTTTATCTAACACATTTCTCGATTTTTTTTTTCAAATCAATCAAGGGTAAGTAATTAGGATCGAAACTTTACTTTTTAATTTAACTTGTCATTTTTCTTAATTAAGACAACTGGAAATTACGTAGTACCGAAAGGGCGGTTCAAGGGTGCTAATCCTTCCTTGACCGTAACCGACTCCCGAGCCCGACATATTTCTGGTAAGACGCAAATCAGGTAAGAAATAGGGTATCCGATCAACCCATTTATTTTTAAATAAATGATCGGTGGCGACTCCAATCCACATTTTTCAAGTCGAAGCCCAATTCTGGGGCCCAACCGAAAGACGGTTGCGACACTATGGTTGGGGAGATTTCAGACACCGAAAAAACAACTGCAATAGCAACGATGTTTTCAACACTTTCAGCTACATTGTCGCTGTGATTCCTTTCTGGTCTCGCATGCTTCAGTGCCTGCGTCGTTTTTTCGAAGAAAAAGATACCTTGCAAGGTTACAATGCAGGGAAATATTTCATCACCATCGTGGCCCTTTGTTTAAGAACTGCATACAGTCTTAACAAAGGGTTGAGTTGGGAAATATTGACTCTCATCTTCTCTGTGACTGCTGCCATTGTATGTACTTACTGGGACCTTGTCTACGATTGGGGACTTCTTCAACGCCATTCTAGGAACCGATGGTTGAGAGACAAACTCCTTATACAACAGAAAAGTGTCTATTTCGGTGCAATGGTAAGTCTAGGAACCGAGTATTCAAACTCCAAACTTGTTCGATTGGTATGGTCATATGTGTTTAATGGGATACATTCATTGGAATGCAGGCCCTGAATGTTCTGCTGAGATTTGCATGGTTGCAAACAGTGTTCAATTTCAAGTTATTTGATTTTCATAGGCAAACCATGATCACCATCGAGGCCAGCCTCGAGATAATCCGTCGAGGGATGTGGAATTTCTTCAGGTAAACTAAGTGTGTTCTTTCCCTGCTATTTTACAAACTCGAATCTGAATTTGAATCTAACATGTTTGAAAACGTTATTTCCAGGTTAGAGAACGAGCATTTGAATAACGCCGGCAATTATCGAGCATTCAAGTCGGTGCCATTGCCTTTCAATTATGAAGAAGATGAAGATAAAGATGAATAGACAGTAGAAAATTCAACAAGGTACATACAAGAGAAAATAGTTGTAAGTGTGTCATGCACAAGAGAGAAGGCAGAGAAGAAGAAGTTAGACTCGATGAAAGGGATTTGGGAATTATTAAGGGTTAGGGATTGAAGAGGAGGAATTGGGAATTAAAGCACGTGAAGGGCATATGATTAACTTACCGGATGAGTTGGAGCAGGCTGAGTGGATCCAGGAAGAGTTGGAGCAGTCCGAGTCAGAAGGCCAATACCAACTGCAACAAAAGAAGTATAAGAAGCAGTTTGTTAGTATTCTGTTAGTAAGGAATGCCAGTTGGCATTGTTAGATTCCATGTACCAGCTTGTAACTAAATAATACTGCTGTATAATCAACATTTTCCTCATGCAATGAATGAATGACTATTTTTTTCTCTCTAAATTCTCTCTTTTTCTCGTATCTTACTCTATTTCTCTCATTCCATAACAAATTAGTATCAGGAGCCTTAATTCCTGACAAATTGCAGACTGGATATGCAAAAGAAGAACCAAACCATGGTCGAATCTACTGATCTCTCTGCCATCAAAAAGCAGATTGAGGATTTAAAGAAAACAGTGCAGCAAGCAAATGATGAAACCAACCCTCCCAAGTGGTGGGAGGCACAAGATAAATGTATCAGTTCGTTGGAGTCTAGGATGACAACGACTCAAAGCTACATGGAGCAGATAATGGGGATTTTGACAATAAAGGAGTACATCGTGATGCAAAGATTGAAAAATCTGATGTTCCATATGTACCTTGCACTCATGAAGGTCTTTTGATGTGGAAATATGCTTCGATGAATTCGATTGACTTTCTAATTGAGAGAATATGAATACAGCTGGGGTAGATTGCTGCATTGGAATTCATGTAGACTTCACTGATTTTCAAAGAAAGGTCGTCTTAGATGCTGCTACAATTGCTGTAGCATGTGGAGTGTGGCATACTTCTGTAGTTGTTGAGGTTATTGTCACTCAATCTACTACTAGTGTTTCCTGGGGAAAATTATTCACATGGGGGGATGGGGACAAAAATCATCTTGGACATGGAGACAAAGAAACCCGGCTTAAGCCCAAGTGTGTTCTAGCACTAATTGATTACAATTTTCACAAAGTTGCTTGTGGGCATGGCTTAACAGTTGGTTTGACAACATCAGGGAATATTTTTACAATGGGAAGTATTGTGTATGGTCAACTTGGGAATCCCTTTTCTGATGGAAAGATACCATGTTTAGTAGAAGACAAGCTTTCAGGGGAATGTGTTGAAGAAATTGCTTGTGGTGCATATCACATCGCAACTCTAACTTCCAGTGGCTTTAAAGATCTGTTTGACTGGCAACACTTCATTGAAACCCTGAAGGACGATGTCCACATAGTTGAGGCAATACCACCCGAGTATGCTAGAATTGAGCCATTTAACAAAATGCCTATATCCTGGTCTAAGTTTAGCTATTATAAGGCAGAGGTCCTACCATTGTTGAAGCAGCAAAAAGTAATCTATTTTATACACACTGATTCTCAGCTTGCCAATAATGGTATCTCAAGTTCCATAAAAAAACTGAGGTGTCGGGTGAACTACAAGGCACTGAAATATTCAACTGCAATTGAAGAACTTGGAAACACGTTGATTTCTAGAATGCGCCAAAATGAAAGCCCTTATCTTGCTCTATATTTGAGATACGAGATGGATATGCTTGCATTTACTGGCTGCAGTCATAGCTTGAGAGCAGAAGAAGATGATGAACTAAGTAGGATGCGTTATGAAGTCAGCCATTGGAAGGAGAAAGAGATTTATGGTACAGAGAGAAGATTGCTCAGTGGCTGTCCACTGACCCTTAGGGAGACTTCTCTCTTGCTCAAAGCATTGGGTTTCCCACCAAGTACTCGGATTTACTTAGTAGTTGGTGAAGCTTATGGAAATGGAAGTATGGAGCCTCTTAAGGAGGATTTCCCTAACATCTTTTCTCATTCCTCCTTGGCAACATATGAGGAGTTGAATCCTTTCAAAAACCATCAAAACATGTTGGTCGGTTTAGACTATGTTGTTGCCCTTTAGAGTGATGTTTTTGTATATACTTATGACGGAAATATGGCAAAGGCAGTTCAAGGCCATAGGCGATTTGAGAACTTCAAGAAGACTATCTGCCCTGACAGGATGAATTTTGTGAAACTTGTAGATGAAAGAGAATCTGGATCTTTCATAGAGAGCGAAAATAGTACAAAATGCAGAAATTCTGCATCAGTAGCTAATGGCGGTTAAGCTGAGGCTGACTGGATTGAAAAGTATGAGCCTGGAGTCTACATAACTCTTGTAGCACTACAGGATGGAACTAGGGATCTTAAACGTGTGTGGTTCAGCCGGAGAAGATTTGGAGAGCACCAAGCAGAATCTTGGTGGTCAGAAAATCGCGAGAAGGTTGTGGAGAGGTACTGGGATTGGGAGCTTACAAATGAAACTCAACCTATTTGGAATATGTTTACTCATCTAATGGAATATATGGGTGTATTACGTCTGACTATTATGGATTTAAGGATATACTCTAGGGAGGAAGAATATTCTAGTGGCTATGAAGGATCAACTTTCCTTAGTTGGTATAGAGAAATTATTGATAGAACAATCATTCTCATCAATGTGGTTAATGCTAAAACTTATGAGGTTACTGATGCAGATTATAACAACCGTTTGTTATTTTTCCTTAAACTTCAAATGGTAGAGATGATTGCTCTAATCTTTTGGAGTGCTCTAATCTTACAGCTGCCAATCCAAGAACCATGCCTAGCTATTGGGTTTCTACCTCTCCATTCTAATGGTCTTCGAGTTGGGCAACTTGTTACCTTGAAACAGAGAAATGAGAGGCCAAAAGATACAGGGAAAAGCAAAGTTTCACAAAACAATGATGCGGTGTGGTATGAAGTGAATGTAAATTTTGATAAACCACCTACTCTGCTATGGTGTTCAGATTTCACAGTGCATACGGTCCCAGATGTGTTGCAGAACAGAATTAAACAACATGCTGAAAAAAATCGAAGTGAACGACAGTTTCAAATTGGAGAAGAAGTATACCTAAGATTGCAACCTTACTGGCAGAATTTACTTGTACTATGGATGAACTTGAACTCAAATCACGATACTTGAGACGCTCATACCATTCTGAGGCCTCAGTTTCCAAGTTTCGATCCTTGGGGACAAGGATCTTGTTATGACCCTAGGAGATTAGAGAAGAAAATTAGACGAAGAATGGACAGAATTGAGATTAAAGAAGAGAAGAAAAGGGATTCAAGAAAGCTGAGAATTCATTCATTCATTTCATAAGGAAAAGATGACTACAAGCAGGTATTTTATTTAGTTACAATGTAGTACGTAGAATCTAACTTATGCCAGCTGGCATTTGTACTAACAGATTACTAACAGAATGGTTCTGTGTCATTTCCTTTCTTCAGCAAGTATTGGCCATCTTGTTTGGGCAGCTCCAGTGTTCCTCGGATCCTTCTGGCCTGCTCCAGCTCGTCGGTAAGATAATCACCTGGCTATCTCGTGCTTTAATTCCCAATTTACATTTTCCAATCCCTAACCCTTGCACATCCATTCTCAATTTCTCCCCTCGCTCGTCCATTCCTAAATCCTCCTCTCCTCGCCGTTCTTCTTCTTCTCCAACCATAACAATACCCGCCCCACGAGATGATCCTTGTCCCCAAGGATCGAACCCAGGAAACTATCCTTTTAGAACCAAATAGTCATGGTTCTTGGATTGGTCAGAATGGAGAGATAGAAACCCAATAGCTAGCCATGGTTCTTGGATTGGCAGCTCTTTCCTAACTGGATCAGTTTGAGGCAGGTGGCAGCTGAACATGGTTAGAACATCCAATGCAGCATCAAGTTCCCAACTATGCATGTACTTGAGGGCAAGTCCAGCAGCCAGATGTTTGTCCTTCAACCGCAGGTAATACTGCCAACTAATGCTCCAGATGCAATGCCCCTCGTAACCCTGAGGTTGTCCAGAGGTTGAATGAATTCCTTCTCCGCGTTCAATTAGTAGTTGAAACAACTTGTCCGAGGCTCCATTACGTAGAGAGCGATCAGAGAGTGCAAAAGAATCCATTAGTTTTCCTTCATCAATCAACCATTCCATAGCTTTCTCATATGGGTCTTCATTCTTTAGGCCAAAATAAAGAAAAATTGTACTATCAACTTCATCTGTTTCAAGTTTTATGCAATCATGCCATGGGTCTGGAGAGGGGTTATCTTTAACATTAAGGTCCAAGGATGCCGTGACAATAGAATTACTAACAATTTCATCAACATCAGACTCAGTGTCACTGTCAGATTCGTGCAGTCTCTTAATAACAGTTCTTGTTTCAGGTTTAACATTGCCACCATTAGCGCTTTGCATAGCTGTCACAGCAAATTCTGAAACCCTATGAAGATTAGTACGCATCTGTATCCATCTATTCAAAGTAGGGAACCTTTCAGATTGATCAAGAGAAAACTCATAAAACAGCCGATCAGCATTAGGTGTCTGCAATAAATCATCATCCAAGGAGCTAGATATAGAGGACTCACTGCCGCTGTGTAACATATTGCTTCTAAAAACACATGCCAAGACAGCCCTGACTGGAAATATTTTAACCATATGTTTCACTATATATAATTGGAGAGGATAAAGAGGGATCCCAAGTGTTGCAGAGGAACGATTGTAACAACTAGGTTTAGCTTCTTTAGCAGAAGGAGAAAGTACTTTATTATTTGAACAACTACGAGGGCATATGGTGATGACGGAAATACATGCCCATCCATGACCAGAATGTGGAGGATAAACTAGGGGTACACATGCTGAAATCACTTCATGAATAAAGTCGGCAGACATTATCTCTGCTACTTTGCCAGCTGCATCTGTGGTTCCTTGGTCGAAGACCAAACGAATTAAAAGATCTTTAGGCCATTCATATACAAGTGAGAAAAAGTTAAAATCGTGAGTTGTATATGTTCCATCCACTATGTCACCTATTGTAGCAATATGGAGAATAAATTGTGACAAATAGGTTGTGGGTTTTGCACTTATAGGAGCAAATAGTATCTTCCCAGCATCCATCATATCATATCCAACAGACTGCATGCTATTATCTCCGGTCGTGGAAGTTAATGACATCTGTTTGACAGCTTTTAACCCAAGTCCAAGAACACCATCCTTGTCAAGACCGGATTGTACTTTGAGATCAACTCCTGGTCCTTCACCCTTGGTAAAACTTACTTCCATTTCTTCATCAGTGATAGCTCTTGCTAGATTGTGAAGCTTACCGCTAAGAAATTATCGTTTTCCCATATGAGCATCTTCAATCATCTGATGTAGCAGTGCAAGAGCATGTTCTTTTTGTTCCTGTCGATGAGAATCCTTAGCTGATGAAATGGAGATCTCCCCTGTCAGAATGACCCGAAGAACTGGATGACTATCCTTTTTTTCTTGTTTGGTTGCTTTGATATCTAACTGCTTAATCAAATCTATATTTGAAGTAGAAGCAGATTTGGATAATCTTGTTTCAGCCTTATCCAACCTGTCCTTGCTCTCAGCTGAAATGTGAGGTACAAAATTCCTACTATTATTACCAGCTTCAAAAACCTTATTCATTTTAGCAAAACAGGAATCACAGACACGAAAAGGTTTCCCAGGATTAGGGCCCAAAGCTGCTCTTAGTGCTTTCCTTGAACTGCAGGAACGACAGTTCACAAGTCCACAGTTGTAGCAATTATGCCTTTTTCTGGCGAACCCAAAAGCTTGTCTACAAGCCGAGCATTGAGATTCTTTGGTACCGGATACCCATTTATGGAGACATATAGCAGCACTATAGTTTGAACCACAAGCTGTATACTTGACATGTCTATCCTTCATTCCCTCAACCAGAGAAGGAGTTTTTCGATCTTTAACATCTCCATGACCCAACCTACCGTTAGCTCCTTTATTGTCCATGGAAACAAGTTTGTCCTTAGCCCTCCAACCTGTGTCATAATAAGTGGCAGTGTTCTTTCCCAATTTTTCCAGAATCCTCATTCCATCCGTCTTAAGGATGTTAGGAGTACTTACTTGAGCATTCTCTGAAATGGTTTGTTCTTGTTCCTCGATGTCCACTAGAATTTCCCACAAAATCAATTTGCTAAGCCCACTCAGATTATCATTTTGTTGTAGTCGTGAATCAACTTTTATGGTTCCAGTAATGAATGGAATTGCATCAAATGCTCTTGTTGGCAGTTTATCAAACACTTGATACCTATCATTTGTATCTTCTATTGCCACACGGGACATCTGCTCAATTTCAGGGCTGTTTTGGACTTGCTCCTCTGTCCTCCCTATTAAAATCCCTAATATCTGCTCCATGTAGCTTTGAGTCGTTGTCATCCTAGCTTCCAGTTTACTGATCCGATTATCCTGTTCTTCCCACCATTTAGGAGGTTTTGTGCCATCCGTTGCTTGTGTCACCAGAGTTGTAAGTTCTTCAATCTGCTGCTGGATTGAAGAAAGATTAGGAGTTTCGACCATGGTTTGGTTCTTTGCTTCAAGCTGCCAGGAAATGATGGCTCTGAATACCAATTGTTATGATCCTAGGAGATTAGAGAAGAAAATTAGACGAAGAATTGACAGAATTGAGATTAAAGAAGAGAAGAAAAGGGATTCAAGAAAGCTGAGAATTCATTCATTCATTTCATAAGGAAAAGATGACTACAAGCAGGTATTTTATTTAGTTACAATGTAGTACGTAGAATCTAACTTATGCCAGCTGGCATTTGTACTAACAGATTACTAACAGAATGGTTCTGTGTCATTTCCTTTCTTCAGCAAGTATTGGCCATCTTGTTTGGGCAGCTCCAGTGTTCCTCGGATCCTTCTGGCCTGCTCCAGCTCGTCGGTAAGATAATCACCTGGCTATCTCGTGCTTTAATTCCCAATTTACATTTTCCAATCCCTAACCCTTGCACATCCATTCTCAATTTCTCCCCTCGCTCGTCCATTCCTAAATCCTCCTCTCCTCGCCGTTCTTCTTCTTCTCCAACCATAACAGATCTATTCGTGGAGGGGGTAATGTCATGCACAAGAGAGAAGGCAGAGAATAAGAAGTTAGACTCGAGGAAAGGGATTTGGGAATTATTAAGTAAGGGTTAGGAACTGAAAAGGAGGAATTGGGAATTGAAGCACGTGAAGGGCAAATGATTAACTTACCGGATGAGTTGGAGCAGGCTGAGTGGATCCAGGAAGAGTTGGAGCAGTCCGAGTCAGAAGGCCAATACCAACTGCAACAAAAGAAGGATAAGAAGCAGTTTGTTAATATTATGTTAGTAAGGAATGCCAGCTGGCATTGTTAGATTCCCTGTACCAGCTTGTAACTAAATAATACTGCTGTGTAATCAACATTTTCTTCATGCAATGAATGAATGACTATTTTTCTTCTCTAAATTCTCTCCTTTTCTCGTATCTTACTCTATTTCTCATTCCATAACAAAGTGTTGGTGATTGAATTTTTTTTGGTACGCAATTGTTTATGACAGTAAAAAAGATTAATTTAGTGAATTTAGAGATAACACTTTGCTCTACAGAAATTTTCTAGCCTACTTTATTATTGATAACAGTCATCAAGCAAAATATATTAGAGAGTACAAGGATCAAGCTTAAGGGCAAAGTAGATTTCTACAAGAAAAATCGGAAAAATGACATCCATACAAAGTTTTACTCATAAAACACAAAAATATCTCTGTAATTCACCAACAGAAAACATAACATACTTAACCGGGCGAATCACCATGTTCGCTGTTCAGTCCCTGAGCTCCACTGCAACAAAAGAAGTGCGGTAACTTAACACGACCTCAGCTCCTGCAATAAAACAATGTATTGTAATTACATATATGCTGATTTTACCAATCACAATTTACTTGTTCAATATTCAATTCCATCTCTTTGTTCAGCCTTCAAGAGATTCACGGGCCTAAACCTTACATTATCATTTACTTATTGTACAGTCTCCAATTCAAGCTAAGAAATAACATTTTTTTTTATAAATAATGATGAACATCTATTGCTATTCAACCATTTCAACAACTAAAGTAGTAAACTAAACTATGGTGATTTCTAATTCAAGCAATTTCCAATAACAAACATGAAACCATAATTGATAAATTAAAAATACTTACTTGCATCTAATAATGACCGGAACGGGTTTCAAACCCTTGTGTCCATTTCTTATGCCTCTCTTATGGCGACTCACCTACAAATTATAGAAACAAATATATGAACATTTCCATTTGAACATATCTAACTGAATTAATAAATAAAGATCCTTACTTTTCTCTTTGGGACAGCCATGAGCTCCAAAGATCCTCCAAAAAGGAAAATCGGGAACCCAAACCCGAAGTTGTTAATATTGCTGTCTGGGAGATCGAACTCGGGTAAAACCAACAGCTGCGACGGTGGGGGTTGACTGATGGAAGCATCCAACGGTGGATGGAGTGCTGAAGCATGAACCCATCTCCGCAGCCCCAAAACAGAACCGTATTCGACTGCGGCGGAGCGTTTCAGCATCGCTAGTCTCGACGCCATTTTTGGATGGACAGTGACGGTGACCGGTGAGCCAGCTCCGTCACGGTAAAACCGTCATTAAAAGAGATCGCGGGGACTTTTTCCTCTAAACGGCGCCGTTTCTCAATTAAGCAAACACTGTTTGGGGTTGGGCTGAAGAAGATCTTTTAATCGGGTTCTGGCCAATAATAATCAGGCTTAACTCAACTTCAGCAATTGAAGACGTGCCAGCAAGTTGTAATCATAAACTACGAAGAACAAAGTTTATTTTATATAAAAATACCTAAACACTAGTCATAGAGTTCATTTTATCAATTAACCAAGTTTATTTATTAATCATCTCATACATAGATTATTATTATTATTATTTATAAATGTGGAGTGGAATACAAGATAATATATATTTAAAGACTCTTAACCATTTGGTAACAGAACACTCATATCGCTGTATACACGGTGCTTGAACCCGAGACCTTAAGAGATAACAACAAATCTCTTAACCACTAAGAATGTTTGGTTCTTACATGCATAAATTATTAAAACTTCAAATCACATCATAACACATCTATATAGACCAAGCATGCTTTACTACCTTAAGGCTCTATTAATCAATTCAAGATCATACATGTTTTACTTTATCAGATACCAACACGTACATTAAGCAAGATATTCAAATATGATATAATTATCAAGCTACCACAGTAGTTAAAGGAATAATTGTTATTTTAAGAGGTCTCAGGTTAGAGCACTAAAGACTGAAAGGGTGTTTGAGTTTTTATTGTCAATTGGTTATGAATCTTTAGGACATATACTACCTTGTAATCACCATAGATTAATCAACATACATCACCAAATTGATCTTTATCCAAACATTGTCATGTCAAAATTATTTATATGCATTCATCAGAAAAAATTATAACCAAAATTTCAGCCACTGTACATCAAAATTTGAAGGCATAATGCTAAAAAATTATATATAACATTTAATTAAATAGTTATTTTAATTATATTTTTTTGAAATATTTTAACTCCGATATTTTATTTTATGATAAAAGAGCTCCTTCATAAATAAAAATAGTTAGTCCATAAAAGATCAATGTCTAACTATGGCTCAGTAAATACATTAAGACATATATACTAACGTGACATATTCACATTAGAAAAAGTGATAGACGTGATAGAATGTCACATCAGTAAAAAATAATTTTTTTAACATAATTATAAATAAATTTTCTATTAAATTACTTACACCAATTTTTCATCTTTCGTTTTTCTTATAATCGTAATTCTTTCGTTTACTTTTCATTTGTGAACCGTTAAAAAGATCATAATAAAAATAATAATTTAAACAATTGAATCAAAATTGTTAATATTTTATAATATTTAATTATTTTTAATTCAATTGAACTTAAAAACGGATGATCAAATCAACTAAACCATCATTTGGTTTCTTACACCATTACTTAAATTTCAGCATACATAATCTTACTCTTGAGCAACAAGGTCAAGGATAGTACCACTGTCCACATTTACAAGGATAGTACCACTGTCCACATTGGTCCGACCAAATTAAATTCCATTAAATAATCCTACCCCATGACTGAATCTACTGTCACCATCCAAACTCCTAATTTCCCCCACAATAAGTTCCCTTCTCCTCTTACCATAAATATGAGAGGTCAACATCTGTTGTGTCTTCAAAGTTTGGGACTATATTTATTGTCCTTATTTTGTGTTATAAATTTACCAAAATTAGTAAAAAGAAGTACAATTATCAACTTCTGAAATGAAAGATATAATATCAATTCAATATATAAAAATATTTTTTCACGTGAAGTGAAAAGAGTACTGTTATTTTTTTCCGTCTATATATATTTTAACTTAAATAATGGATGTGTGTCAAAATTCAAAATCCTGCAACCTCATCGATATTAGTATTTATTTAATAAAATCATAAATAAAAAATAGAAAATAATTTGTTCATGTTGAGATCATGATGGATCGAGGGGGCGGGTGGGGTAATCGCCCCTGAAAATTTAAAATTACCATATGTTTTAAAATTTTCTATTATTTTATATTGAAAATCTATTTTCACTTCCTGAAATTTTATAAGTTCATTATCCTCCTAAAATTTTAGAAGTCCGTCCCACTTTTAATATAAAATATTACGTATGTCGCTAGTTGAGATCTTAATTTTAAAATCTATTTTTTATAGTAATATTTTTGTTTATTTTATAATGTATATTCATACCTTGGAGCTATCTCTTCTAACAATTATGCCTCAAACATTTGATTTTGAATGATCTTATATAATAAACAATACTTAATTAAACATAATACCTATAAAATTTTATACATAATAATAAATTTAACTTCAATATTTTATATCTTTTATTAATTTAACCCTTATGCTTTTTAGTTTAATTTTACCCTTTGATTTTAAGAGAAATCAAATTATTTCTTAAAGAAAATGATGGTTAAAATAGGAAAAAAATTAAAAGTCTTGATGTGGCAGGTTGCATGGAAACGATATCATTTTTTTAGACATAAGAGAATTAACCCTCAACATTTAATTTAACCCTTATCATTTTAAAAAGTTAAATTATTTTTATTTAAAGAAAATATTGATAAAACAATAAATTTTAATGATTTTCAAATTACATAGTATCATATAACAATTTATGCGTAATTCATATTAACATGTCACTATCTATCTTATATGTTATGTCAACTAATAATTTAAAATTATAAAAGTATTAAAACATAAAGATTTAAAAAATATATAGAATTATACTTTTTCATCATTTTCTATTTTATCATTATATTTTACCGTCGCATCAGTCGTCGCTACTTCAACGACACTATTAATCGTAGTAGTTCTGCAACTGATGATGGCATCAAATTCTCATCCTCTTTCTAAATGAAAAATAAAAAGGGAAAAAAATACATCCAACGGTATATCCAAAAAATTCTTCTGCCAGTCAAAACTCCAATGGTGCGTTGTATCATGCACTTGGCTATATATATGATCCGTCGTTCTCCGACGTCAACTCATCATCATCTTCACCATTCCTTCATTAATGCATGCAAACTAAACCAACTGGTGTTCTATCAGAGCTTATTCGCAACATTACCTGGAGCGCAGTCAACCAAAAAAATATATATTCTCCGACGATGATGGGGTTTCGTGTTTTCCGACAGCGTCGACGAAAAGGGGTCGAGGTTGCCGGCGTGTAGTGTTCGACAGAGTTTCAACTAATGATGAGGGTTCGAGATTGTCGACGATGATCGGTCCCCATTTTTTGGCATGCGTGTTCCAGTAGGTTTTAATCTAGTTGTCGGTTCGCTTAGGTAAGTAAGCTGCTATGGCGGTCCACCTGCGTATACCAGACTTATAATTATTAGGATTTATTAATAAACAGATACGTCAAAGAATTCAATGCATGCATGCATGCACCAACATGGTTTCGGTTCCTATTAGTAAATACGAAAGCTGGAAAACAAACTCGGAGGATTTGATAATTCTAATACTGGCGAGTTAAAGAAATTTTCTTAACTGTGCAAACATGAGAACAATAATTGAGTGATTATTTACCACCGTTTTTATCTCTGAGTAAAAGATGGCAGATATGGGTAAATATTTACTGAGCTTCTTTCGGTAGTATTCTTATACTGGCCGTGGCATTTTTGGGATCATGAAACAACGCAGTGGGGAGGGACCAAAAGCAAGGGCTGCCTGTCCCTCCAGGAATCATAACTATATCACAACTACCAGTACAACACCAATTATTCCAAAGCTTGCTCTGTGTAAATATTTACTTCAAATTGTACATTAGCCAGAGAGATGAGTCCAATATTTTTATTAAGGAGTTAATTTATAATAATATAATTTCTTAAGGACTCGAGAGCAATTTTTTCATTTTAGAAGGGATCCTTTAATATTCTAAGGTGATTACAAAGTATTATTTATTCATAATTTTTCTTAGCATATTGACAATGCACACATACTCTACAAACATAGCTGCTCGAATTCAAGTCTTATAAAGAGAATAACATTATCTTTTATCACTGAGTTCACTCAATGAATTATTTAGAAGGGATTTAAGGGCTATAGTTATATCCCCTTTATCCGTTGTTGCAATTTTTGTTATATGTCTACTTAGTTTAAATTTTTATTCTAAATTATAATAATTAAGGGTTGATTCGACTTAAAATGGGTTTTTAAAATTATTTTTGAATTGTTTGAATTATTCCAATTAACTTAATTTTTTAAAATTTTGAGTTCAAGTCAATTTTAATTTTGTAATGTTTGAATAACCTAAATATTGAAAACTAAAACAATATTAATTTAGCCTTTAGCTGATTAATTTGATTTTTTATGATTTGATCCCTAATTTCTTTATTTATTCGACCCTCCTTCATTTTAAGTCTAATTTTGGTCGAATTTGAACTACATGCTCTCTGACCAATAAAATATATATGCAACTTCAATTTATTTTTTAAAAAATAAATCCTCTTTTTAAAGTGGAAACAATAATTTCATTGTTTCATCAATTCTTTCTTCATTTTAAGTATGTTTTGACTAAATTTGAACAAGATGTTCAGCTACCAATGTAGAACACCTAGTAAATTTAGTTCATCTTTTTGAAAAAATATATTTTTTTCTTTTTTTAGTTTAGTCCTTCAACTTTGCATTTTATTTAATTTTATCCTATGATTGTAACTCTTTGCAAAGTCTTTTCTTCTATCAACTCTTTGATTCTTTTATACTCTAATCAATACTTTATCTTCAGAACCATTTCTTTAAAAAAAATAACATTATAAACATTATAATTTTAGATAATATTTGATTTGTTAAATAACAATACAACTATTACTCAAAAAGTAATATATGTGTATATTATTAAATAACTTACACATGTGAAAATGAATAATATATGTGTATATTGTATATGGTTAGAGAGAGTCATTTAAATTGAAGCTAATCAGTATCACAATATTATAAATAATTATATTTAAATTTAAACAGAAACTCATACAAATATATTTAATTTAACTCAAAAAATTTAAATAAAATTTAAAATGATACTCGTAAATTTG